TTGTTCCCAAGATAAGACTGATTTTGGCAAATGACATTTCCTCTAAGGAAAGAGAGGGTGAGTGGGCGGGGTTAGTACCTTCTAAGATAAGATCGATTTTGGCAAATGACATACTCGCTGAGAAAATATAGGACGGGTGGGCGGGGCTAGCACCTGCTAAGATAAAACTGATATAATAAAGGGTAGAGGGTATATCATTTGGCAAAATCAGTCTTATCTTGGCAAGTACTAGCCCCGTCCACCCACCCTTTTTTTTTCTTAGAGGGTTTGTCATTTCCGCCAATCGATCTTATTTTAGCAGATATTAGCCCCACCCACCCGCCCTCTCTTTTCTTGAGGGATATCTCATTTGCCAAAATCAGTCTTATCTTGGCAAGTACTAGCCCCGTCCACCCACCCTTTTTTTTTCTTAGAAGGTTTGTCATTTCCGCCAATCGATCTTATTTTAGCAGATATTAGCCCCACCCACCCGCCCTCTCTTTTGTTGAGGGATATCTCATTTGCCAAAATCACTCGTATCTTGGCAAGTACTAGCCCCGCCCACCCACGCGCTCTTCTTACAGGGTTTGTCATTTGCCAAAATCGATCTTATCTTGGCAGGTATTAACCCCGCCCACCCGCCCTCTCTTTTCTTAGAGGAGATGTCATTTGCCAAAATCAGTCTTATCTTGGGAACAACTAGCCCCGCCCATCCACCCTCGCTTTTCTTTTCTTAGAGGGTATGCCAAAATCAGTTTTATCTCACTAAGTAGTGATGACTAACTTTTCACAAAAAATTATCAAAATTTTGGAACTTTACGAGTTTACTTATATGCACAAGGCAGGAATTTTGAACATGGTGGAAATTAGTCATCACGACTTACTAAGATAAAACTGATTTTGGCATACCCTCTAAGAAAAGAAAAGCGGCGAGGGTGGGTGGGCGGGGCTAGAAGCTGCCAAGATAAGACTGATTTTGGCAAATGAGATACCCTCTAAGAGGAGAGGGTGGGTGGGCGTTACTAATCTGTTAACATAAAACTGATTTTGTCAAATGACATCTCCTCTAAGGAAAGAGAGGGTGAGTGGGCGGGGTTAATACCTTCTAAGATAAGATCGATTTTGGCAAATGACATACTCGCTGAGAAAATATAGGACGGGTAGGCGGGGCTAGTACCTGCTAAGATAAAACTGATATAATAAAGGGTAGAGTGTATATCATTTGGCAAAATCAGTCTTATCTTGCCAAGTACTAGCCCCGTCCACCCACCTCCTTTTTTCTTAGAGGGTTTGTCATTTGCCAAAATTGATCCTATTTTAGCAGGTACTAGCCCCGCCCACCCGCCCTCTCTTTTCTTAGAGGATATCTCATTTGCCAAAATCACTCTTATCTTAGCAAGTATTAGCCCCGCCCACCCACCCTATCTTTTCTTGGAGAGATTTTATTTGGCAAATTCAGTCTTCTCTTGACAAATTTCAACCCATTTTCAACGATTTTCGAAATTTGACTAAATACATTTTATAGTAGATTTCGGGCCACAGAAGCCACTTTCGGCTTCATTTCTTCGATAACTTCAATAGTTTTTCCAGAATCGCCCATTGAAATACGACAATTTTTAAAAATCTCAAAAAAAAATTAATTTCACCCAGAATATTTCGAAAATAGTGCACCGTGACCCTAAACACGCTATATTTTTGGAATCAGCACTTCAAGAGCTATAACCTTGAATTTTTTAAGAATTTTTAGACGACTTTTTCAAAAATTAAATTTTCCTTCTGCAAATTTCTACCCATTTTCGACGATTTTCGAAATTTAACTAAATGCATCTTCTTGGGCTGCAGAGTCAAGTCCGGCCTCATTTCTTCGATAAGCTCAACCATTTTTCCAGAATCGTCCATTGAAATATCGCAATTTTTAAAAATTTAAAAAAATCCCGATTTAACTCCGAATATTTCTAAAATATTGCTCCGCGACCCTAAACACACTATATTTTTGGAATCAGCACATCAAGATCTATGTCCCTGAAATTTTTGAGAATTTTTAAACAACTTTTATAAAAATGAAATTTTCCACCATGTTTAAAATTCCTGCCTTGTGCATGTAAACTCATAAAGTTCCCAAACTTTGATCATTTTTTGTAAAAATTAGTCAACACGACTTACTAAGATAAAACTGATTTTGGCATACCCTCTAAGAAAAGAAAAGCGGCGAGGGTGGGTGGGCGGGGCTAGCAGCTGCCAAGATAAGACTGATTTTGGCAAATGAGATACCCTCTAAGAGGAGAGGGTGGGTGGGCGTTACTAATCTGTTAACATAAAACTGATTTTGTCAAATGTCATCTCCTCTAAGGAAAGAGAGGGTGGGTGGGCGGGGTTAATACCTTCTAAGATAAGATCGATTTTGGCAAATGACATACTCGCTGAGAAAATATAGGACGGGTAGGCGGGGCTAGTACCTGCTAAGATAAAACTGATATAATAAAGGGTAGAGTGTATATCATTTGGCAAAATCAGTCTTATCTTGCCAAGTACTAGCCCCGTCCACCCACCTCCTTTTTTCTTAGAGGGTTTGTCATTTGCCAAAATCGATCTTATTTTAGCAAGTACTAGCCCCGCCCACCCGCCCTCTCTTTTCTTAGAGGATATCTCATTTGCCAAAATCACTCTTATCTTAGCAAGTATTAGCCCCGCCTACCCACCCTATCTTTTCTTGGAGAGATTTTATTTGGCAAAATCAGTCTTCTCTTGACAAATTTCAACCCAATTTCGACGATTTTCGAAATTTAACGAAATACATTTTCTAGTAAATTTCGGACCACAGAAATCTCTTCCGGTCACATTTCTTCGATAACTCCAACCGTTTTTCCAGAATCGCCCTTTGAAATACCGCAGTTTTTTAAAATTCATAAAATTCGAATTTCACTCCCAATTTTTCGAAAATATTGCTCCATGACCCTAAACACGCTATTTTTTGAAATCAACACTTCAAGCGCTATAACCCTGAATTTTTTGATAATTTTTGGACGATTTTTTCAAAAATGTAATTTTCGTCAATGTGTACCAAATTTCGACCCATTTTTGGCGGTTTTCGAAATTTAACTAAATACATCTTCTTGTAGATTTCGGGCCGCAAAAGCCAATTCCGGCCTCAATTCTACGATAAGCTGTATCGTTTTTCCAGAATCGTCCACTGAATCATCGCAATTTTTAAAAATTTCAAAAAATTCGAATTTAACTCCGAATATTTCGAAAATATTGCTCCGCGACCCTAAACACACTATATTTTTGGAATCAGTACGTCAAGATCTATATCCCTGAAATTTTTGAGAATTTTCCACCATGTTCAAAATTCCTGCCTTGTGCATATAAGTAAGCTCGTAGTATTCCCAAATTTTGATCATTTTTGGTAAAAATTAGTCATCACTACTTACTAAGATAAAACTGATTTTGGCATACCCTCTAAGAAAAGAAAAGCAAGGGTGGGTGGGCGGGGCTAGTAGCTACCAAGATAAGACTGATTTTGGCAAATGAGACACCTTCTAAGAGGAGAAGGGCGGGTGGGCGGGGCTAATATCTGTTAAGATAAAACTGATTTTGGCAAATGAGATCTCCTCTAAGGAACGAGAGGGCGGGTGGGCGGCGTTAATACCTTCTAAGATAAGATTGATTTTGGCAAATGACATACTAGCTGAGAAAATATAGGACGGATAGGTGGTTCTAGTACCTGCTAAGATAAAACTTATGTAATAAAGGGCAAAATCAGTCTTATCTTGGCAAATTTCGACCCATTTTCGACTTTTTTCGAAATTTAACTAAATACATTTTCTAGTAGATTTCGGGCTGGAGAAGTCACTCCTGGCCTCATTTCTTCGATAACTCCAACCGTTTTTCCAGAATTGCCTATTCGCAATCTTTTAAAATTTCAAAAAAATCGAATATTTCTAAAAATCTATAACCGAGATCTGGCGATTTCTGGCTATTTTAAAAATTTCAAAAACCCCTCCATAAAGGGAAAGCCATCTTGACGTGATTTGCTAAGCTCGTATCAGATCTGCATCACGACGACTTTGCAGACACTAAAAAATCACAAAAAGTGTGGAAAGTTTTCAACAATTGTCCGTTTTTTTTGGTTAATTATTTTCGTATATTGTCATCACCGTTATTGGTTTGTGCTTGACTTTAATCCGGCTTCGATTGATTAATTGGTGACTGTAATCATCCTGTTTGTCAGTGAGTCAAGGTTTTTCTTCTCTACTGAAGATGTTTTGCAGTTCTTCGGGCATCTGTGCAATTATGCTAATTTAATTTAAAATTCAAATGGGAAAAATCGATTTGTATGACTTCAATAACCAATTGTTACTACTTACGAGAGATAAATTGTGGTAATTTGTAACAAACGAGTGTTTGTTGATTTTTATTAGTGTATTTATGTACTTTCGTTTGTCGCCACAACCTGTTTATTTACGTTGTGTTTTACTAGGTTTCCCCGTGTTTACATCTTGAAATTGAATTTGTATTTGTTTGGATTTGGGTATTTATTTTCATAACAGTAATTTTTTAGCACATCGTGTACATTATAAAATTCGCGGAACTTGTTTCTTTATGTTGTATATTTTACTAATAAGGAAGAAGTTGCAAATTTCCCATAGTTAGGAAGGTATTCATTTTAGATAATAGAATGCAATTCAGTTGCTAAATATTATACATTCGGTTTCATGGTTCAAGGATTAATAACTTAATCAAAAATGTTTTGAATTATGTTGGATTGGAAACAGTATATTTTAAAATAAAAAATATGAATTTAGCAAAATTTTAAAATGGCGTCACTTATTGAAATTCCTGTCAAACACTTATCGCTTCGTAATGCGTGTTACCGTCGTCACTATGTTTTTATTATTTGTATTATTCCAAGTATTTAACGACAATGCAAATTTACATTTTGGTAATGAAGTTGTCACTACGCAAGCAAATATTCAACAATAACTTTCTGATTATGAAAGAACAAATCCACCTCATTCCAGGTCCTCAGCAAATTCCCAGTGGTCCAACACATGGTCTTCGGTTCGCTCTTCACCCTCAAACCCGTGGAGGAGTGCACCGGGATGATGACCCCCAAGTACACCATGGGCCCGCCTCCCGGCATCAGCGCCGCCTCGTCCTTCACCTCGAGCCGCGAGTCCAGCAAATCGACTCTGGGCAGCAGAGATACGAAATCGTCGGCCGGGTCGGCGTACAGTCCGCCCCATTCGGTGGCAACGCACGACAGCAGGTCGCTGAGGGACTCGATGAAGGCGTCGCAGGGCGGGTCGAGGGCTACGGACGGGAGCGGCGTCGACGAGGGGGGAAGTCTCTACGAAAGGCAGTCCAACATGTCGGGAGTTTCGGCAGAGTCCGGCGCTTCGGAGAGAGGTGCTAGATATGGGAGACAGGCGCCGCAGATTCCGGCGGCGCTTCTGAGTGGCCTGGCGAGGAGAGGCAACGCGCCGCCGAGAGGCTCTGAGGACTCCGTCGATGAGATGAGGCCGAGGGCGGCGTCGAGTGCTCAGTCGGGGGAAGGGGCGGAAAGTGTGAGGTTTTCGACCGAGGTGGAGGATGAGGCGCAGCCTCACGGGAGGAAGAGGAATATGCCGGACAGGCAAGCGTATAATTGAGTGTATATACTAAATTTCCAAGTAAATATAATTTATTCCACAAGGTGTTTTATTTTTCGAAAGTAGTACCAGTGAGATAAGTGAAATTTATTCACTGTGATACATACATAAAAGCGTCTTCGTTAATATTCACAGTTCACAAGTGCCCATGTAACTAAATTGGTAGAAAATTTGAGTTACATAGTTAATTTGGAGCGAAAATAAATAGTATTTGTAGAACTGATAGTGATAACTATTATCTGTTATCAACGTAACGCTGATATGCGGCCACTTGACACTGATAATAATAACCAAAAGCGAATGAGGTCAAGTTCAAAATACGCAAAAATAACAATAAGCTAATGATGAAATTAATGTCATCCAGTTTCACGTTGGTTATCTAAAAAAAACACAATATAATTACCCTCCAAACTTTTTTTTTTTGTATTTTTTTTTTAACTTAAAAATTTTTGGATTGCAGTAGGCAGGCGATGACATACGCCTTGTGTGGTAACATTGATTTGAAAATTACATGAAAAGTCAAGAACTAACATTTTCGTCAAACTTATAAATAATCTTGGAAGTCAGGCAAACTGAGATCAGTCCAAACAAGTAGATATTTCAGGTCAGGTCAACCCAAGGCAGGTTAAGTCAAGTCAGGAACTATTACTTTCGTCGAATCTGTAAATAATATTTGAAGGCGGACCGACTCAAATTAGTTCAGCCAGGTAAATATTTCAAGTCAAACCAAGGTAAGTCAAGTCAGGAGCTCTTATTTTTGTCGAACCTGTAAATAATATTTGAAATCAAACCAAGTCAGATTAATTCAGTGAAGTAGATATTTGATGCCAGTTGAAGCCACGTCTGGTCAGGCTAAGTCAGGCCAGGTCACAGTCAAGTCAAGAACAGTTATGTTCGTCCAACCTGTCCAACTCAAGATATTTCAGGTCAATTCAGACCATGCCAAGTCAGGTTAAGTCAGATCAGGTCAGGTCAAGACTTGTTATTTTTGTTCAACCTGTAAATAGTATTTAAAATCAGACCAAGTCAAGTTAGTTCAGTCAGGTAGATTTTTCAGGTCAGTTGAGGTCACGTCAGATCAGACCAAGTCACGGTGAAGTCATAACTGTTATTTTCGGCGAACCTGTAGATAATCTTTGAAGTCAGGTCAACTCAGATTAGTTTAATCAGGTAGACATTTTAGGTCAAATTAGGCCAAGTCAGGTTAAGTCAGGTCAGGTCACGGAAACTCCTATGTTCGTCGAACCTGTAGATAATCTTTGAAATCAAGTCAACTCAGATTAATTCATTTAGGTAGATACATCAAGTCAGGTCAGACTAATTAAGATTAAGTCAAGCCAGGCCATAGTCAAGTCAGGACCTGCTATTTTCATCGAACCTGTAAATAATATTTGAAACCAGACGACTCAGATTACTTCAGTCAAATAGATATATATTTGATGTCAGTTCAAGCCACGTCAGGTCAGGTTAAGTCAGTTACGACAACAGGGACGAGCCAACGCATAATACCAAAGAAACAAGGAGACACACTGTAGAAAAATGGCAACAAGAGTGGAGAGCAACAAATAAGGCGAAATGGACAAGGAAACTAATAAAGGAGATAGCCCCATGGAGAGACAGGAATTTTGGGGAAATAGATTTTCACATGACCCAGTGTTTAACTGGCCATGGATGTTTTATGCAGTACGTGGCTAGAATCGGCAAAAGAACATCCCCGACATGTATGTATTGTCCAAATGTAGACGACGCCGAGCACACACTTTTTAGCTGCCCTAGATGGTATAAAGAGAAACAAGAGCTACAAATACTCCTCGGTGGTGAGGTCAATGCAGAGAACCTTGTAGAGCATATGCTGTCGAAAGCCGAAGCCTGGGAGACAATCAAGAAATATATGGGGAATATAATGAGGAATAAGGAGGAAGACGAAAGGAAACAGGAAATGTGAACGAGCAAGGATCTCCCGATGATATGTGCAAACGGTTCCGGGTGATCCGGGAGAAAATGGGAGGGGTTTTAGTGAGGTAAAAATCCCACACTCCCCCGCGGACTTGACATATCTTCCCGCGGGGAGCCTTTTGAAGGTTTCCCCTCCCCCCCCGAAAAAAAAAAAAGGTTAAGTCAGGCCAGGCCATAATCAAATCAAGAAGTTATTGTCGTACAAGTTGTAGATAATTATCTTTGAAGTCATTGCAACTCATTAGTTCAGTCAGGTAGATATTTCAAGTCAGTTCAGACCATGTCAAGTCAGGTTAAGTCCGTTAGGTCAAGTCAAATCAACACTTGTTATTTTTGTTCAACCTGTAAACAATATTAAAGTCACACCAAGTCAAGTTAATTCAGTCAGGTAGATATTTCAACCACGTCAGATTCACCAAGTCAGGTTAAGTCAGGCCAGGCCACGGTGAATTCAGACATGTTATTTTCGGCGAACCTGTTGATGATTTTTGAAGTCAGGTCAACTCAGATTAACTTAGATAGACATTTAGGTCAAGTCAGTAAGTCAGGTCAGGTCACGGTCAAATCAGGAAACTGTTATGGTCATCGAACCTGTAGATAATCTTTGAAATCAAGTCAACTCAGATTAATTCATTTAGGTAGATACATCAAGTCAGGTCAAACTAATTCAAGTTAAGTCAAACCAGGCCATGAAGTCAGCAAATGATATTTTCGTCGAACCTGTAAATAATGTTTGAAACCAGACCACTCAGATTATTTCAGTCAAGTAGATATTTCACGTCAGTTCAAACCACGTCAGGTCAGGTTAAGTCAGGGCAGCCCACAGTCAAATCAAGAGGTTATTTTCGTCCAACTTGTAGATAATAATCTTTGAAGTCATTGCAACTCAAGTTAGTTCAGTCAAGTACATATTTCAGGTCAGTTCAGACCACGTCAAGTCAGGTTAAGTCAGATCAGGTCAGGTCAAGTCAAGACTTGTTATTTTTATTCAACCTGTAAAAAATATTAAAAGTCAAGTTAGTTCAGCCAAGTAAACATTTCGTCTGAGTTGAGGCCGTGTAAGGTCAAACCAAGTCAAGTTAAGTCAGGCCAGGCCACAGTGAAGTCGGACCTGTTATTTTCGGCGAACCTGTAGATAATCTTTTAAGTCAGGTCAACTCAGATTAGTTTAGTCAGGTAGACATTTTAGGTCAAATCAGATCAAGTCAGGTTAAGTCAAATCAGGAAACTTTTAGTTGGTCGAACCTGTAGATAATTTTTGAAGTCAAGCCAACTCAGATTAATTCATTTAGGTAGACGATACATCAGGTTAGGTCAGATTAATTCAGGTTAAGTCAAGTTAGGCCATGGTCAAGTCAGGAACTGTTATTTTCGTCGAACTTGTAAATAATGTTTGAAGCCAGACCACCTAGATTACTTCAGTCAAGTAGATATTTGATGTCAGTTCAAACCACGTCAGGTCAGGTTAAGTCGGGCCAGGCCACAGTCAAATCAAGAAGTTATTTTCGTCGAACTTGTATATAATAATCTTTGAAATCATTGCAACTCAAGTTAGTTCAGTCAAGTACATATTTCAGGTCAGTTCAGACCACGTCAAGTCAGGTTAAGTCAGATCATGTCAGGTCAAGCCAAGACTTGGTATTTTTGTTCAACTTGTAAAAAATATTAAAGTCAAACCAAGTCAAGTTGGTTGAGCCAAGTAGATATTTCATCTGAGTTGAGGCCGTGTCAGGTCAGACCAAGTCAAGTTAAGTAAGGTAGGGCACGGTGAAGTCAGAACTGTTATTTTCGGCGAACCTGTAGAGTGTAGATAATCTTTTAAGTCAGGTTAACTCAGATTAGTTTAGTCAGGTAGACATTTTACGTAAAATCAGATCAAGTCAGGTTAAGTCAAGTCAGGAAACTTTTAGTTCGTCGAGCCTGTAGATAATTTTTGAAGTCAAGCCAACTCAGATTAATTCATTTAGGTAGACGATACATCAAGTTAGGTCAGACTAATGCAGGTTAAGTCAGTCAGGTCATGGTCAAGTCAGGAACTGTTATTTTCGTCGAACCTGTAAATAATGTTTGAAACCAGACCACTCAGATTACTTCAGTCAGATAGATATTTGATGGCAGTTCAAACCACGTCAGGTCAGGTTAAGTCAGGCCAGGCTACAGTCAAATCAAGAGGTTATTTTCGTCCAACTTGTAGATAATAATCTTTGAAGTCATTGCAACTCAAGTTAGTTCAGTCAAGTACATATTTCAGGTCAGTTCAGACCACGTCAAGTCAGGTTAAGTCAGATCAAGTCAGGTCAAGTCAAGATTTGTTATTTTTGTTCAACCTGTAAAAAATATTAAAGTCAAACTAAGTTAAGTTAGTTCAGTCAAGTAGATATTTCATCTGAGTTGAGGCCGTGTCAGGTCAGACCAAGTCAAATTAAGTCAGGTAAGGCCACGGTGAAGTCAGAACTGCTATTTTCATCGAACCTGTAGATAATAATCTTTGAGGTCAGACCAAGTTAAGTTAGTTCGGTCAGATAGATATTTCAGACCACGTGAGGTCAGGTAAAAAGTCAGCTCAGACCAAGTCAGGTTAAATCAGGAACCTGTAAATAATATTTAAAATCAGGTCACTCAGATTACTTCAGTCAAGAAAGTATTTTAGGCCAGTTCAGGACACGTCAAGTAAGCTTAAGTCAAGTCAGGAACTCTTATTTTCGACGCACCTGTAGATAAATGTGAAACCAAGTCAGGTCAAGCCAACTTGGGTTAGTTCAATTAAAAATTTGATTTTAGGTCCATTCAGGTCAGACGAAGTCAGGTTAAGTCAGGTCAAAGTCAAAAATTCTTGATTCATAATTTTGAAAATGAATACAACTAGTTTTATGTTTTTCGCAGTAAATTCAAAGGATACCTGTAACCAGTAAACACTGCGTGATTAATTTATTCTTTGGTTTATCTTTATCAAATAATTTACCACAAAATTTGAATGAATTACATTTTTATTTCCCGAGGGTATGGTGAGGAAGTATTGTAAGCAAATTTATTCGGCAAATGGCTACTTGCATGTTTTCTTGACGTTTCATGACTCCGAGAATATGAAAATATAGGTTTCCCGTTGTCATCTGTCCGTTAATTTTTATTATCATCCCCACCAACAATTGCATGGTGTCAACTCAAAATTTTTCATAATAATTCCTACTTAAATTATATAATAAAATCAACTTACGCCAATTTTTTCAATGGAAAGTAACCAAAGTCGATTCATTTTTCATCATTTTTTTTAGATCTGTAATCTGGATTTGTGTTTGACTTGAACTAGGGTCAATTTATGTTAGGCTAAATAAAGAAAAGACTTCAAAAACATGCAATACTATTTATCTACTTATAGTTTCAGAAATAGATGGTAATATTCTCATTTCAAGTCATTAGTTTTGACCCGAATTGAGTGTATTGGCACCTCGGGACATACTTGTTTGACCCAACAAAACAAAACGCGCTTCCTGTTTGATGCAACGTCATTACGAAATCAGTGATGCCAATCCACGTCGCATGTTACGGTCCACTGCAATCCAAAATATTATTGTAACATTGGATTTGATAATAACGAAACCACTAATAATATAATAAACACTGCTATATAATATCAAACATCATAATTTCACAGTGTTAAAAATAGCAAGCTGAAAAAAGCGGAATTTCAGTTAGGAAATCAAACACACCCAACACTATTTCAGTGAAACTTTCACCGAAAACATTTATTAGAACTGTCACCAAAGCATCCTATTGTTAAATTACGCAATAAAGAAACAGAAACATTTTAAACAAAAATTCTTTATTTGTCGGAACAAAAAAATAATACTGTTGGCATACAAAAACCAAAACACCTAAATTACGTGATTTCGCCAATCCGCATCCAGCGGAAAATACACATGGGCGAGAGTAAGGTCAACCAGTCCCAGACATGGACTTCCATCAATAAATAATTAAATAACACACACAAAAAAAGTCTCATTGGCAAGATCACCACTTTTACAATAGGAACATCGTCAAACTAGAGCCATCTAATCTCATTTCCCTAGATGTATCTGAATATTCGGTAAACTAATCGTCGACGCTATTTTGGCGAACTTCTTCGCCGAGATGCTAGTCCTCACACCACTGACGCCCGAAAGCGAAACATTGCACTGTCCATCCACATTGACCACCTTCACCTCCTGTCCGCAGTTCCGCACGTCGCTGTCGCTGCTATGCCTCCTGATACCGTTCTTCGACGACACCTTGCCGTTGCTGCCCACGTAGGTCACCACGTCCTCGTCTATACTCTGGTCCAGATACACCGAGCCGTTGTTTCCGATGTACACCACCTCGCCGCCGCCGCTCAGCACGTGCACCGTGCAGCCGTCCCCCACGACTTTGAGCGCCGCCAGGTTGTCTTTGACCTGAACGCAGCAGCCGTTGCCGACCACCAGGAGCTTGCGTCTCTTGCCGCCCTCCAGGCTCAGGCTGAGGTTGTTCCCCACGTACTTCTTCGTCTTGCTCTCGCGGGAGCTTTTGTCGGGTACTACTTGCACCATCTCGGGCGAAACTAACGCGGACTTGGCTTTGCGTTCTTTTTAAGGGGGGCAAAGCTCGGAATGTTATTTACCGGCGCGGGACGCGGCGCTGTGAGCTGGTTCCGATTCGTGGGGAACCACCATGGATGTAATTGAGTTTTTATAAGTAATTATTACTCATTCAACGACCTTAGTGCGGCAGTGTTGGGTGCCGGGGGGCGATTGTTTTATTTTTGTTTACTATCAGAGGAGTTATTGCCTTTCGGTGATATGAGAGGATAGGTTTGATAAGAGCTGTAAAATGGGCTGACGGGGAAAGATCGCACTTTTTGTCGACAGGATGTGCGCTGTAATTGCCAGTACGGTTATCTGCAGATAAACGTTCCAGATAATAAGAAATTTTTTCACGCGAAGTGTGTGTAAAATTTATAGATAATTGAGGACGTCCTTGGTTTCACATCTCATGTCATTAAAAGTACAAAGTTTTTTTTGACATACTGTGTTTTACAACGCTATAAAATCTTGAATTAAATAATACGCAACTGCGCCGACTTTCACTAGTTTATTTTTAAGAATGAGAAAGTTTAAAGAAGAAGGGATAAATACTTTAATGGCAAATTATTCTTCTTGTTATTATTATCATTATTATTAGCACCTGGAGGGAAACGAAAATTACTTTATTTTCAAAATCGGAATAATTTTTTTTGTGAATTAGAGTAATAATGGTTGATAAGAGTTGTAAAATGGAAATATTGGGAAAATCGTAGTTTTAGTGGGCAGGATGTGTGCGTGCCGTTATCTGCATATGATACACATTCTGGTTAATAAAAATTTTTTCACGTGAAAAGTGTGTAATATTTAATATACAAACAAAATTGAGTATAACGGTTTTTTCTAGTTTTTTTCTCCTAATTGGTTGGTTGTCTAGTAGCACGTAAAATAAATTATAGAATTTTTTTGTAATTTTCCAAATTAATATAAAATTATTTAATTCAGGTCAATGTTCACAATTATCTAAATTACTGCAATAAATTAATGCTTGTTATGATTTTTATCTCCAAATTCACTTCCTGTTAATTTATAGAAATTATTTTAATAATATTTTTACCCATCAACAATCACTTAAAATACGTCGGATTTACAAATAACTGACATTTTGTAAACTTTCGTTTGATTTCAAAATTACTACGTACATATTGTAAAATCTCAGACTGTGAAAAAAGAAACAAATAATTGATTATACCGGGTGTCTGTAAAATTCTATAAAAGTAAAATTGGCAACACTGCACCCACCTAATGCGTGAAAATGTTTAAAATTCCTGCCTTGTGCTCGTAATTTTTCCAAATTTTGGTAATTTTTTGTAAAAATTAGTCATCACTACTTACTAAAATAAAACTGATTTTGGCAAATGACATACCCACTAAGAAAAGAGTTTTTTAAAAAAATCTGTTTGTTTTTATGTTTTGAAACACGTTTCTTTTGTTTTTTTTTAAGTTTTTTTTGTTCTTTATAAGTTTACAAAATCTTAATTAACAAACCCTTCTTTTGAAAGTTATACCAATTTTAATAAAATAGTTAAAGCTGTCATTGCAAAAATACTTTCATTTTATAATCACTGAGCACTCAAAACATCAAGAAATTGAAAAATTAAAATATCGAAAAATTGAAGAGTCCAGGAATTGAAAAATTCCCAAAATTGATATGTTGAAAAATGAAGAAATCGAAAAGGCGACGAATTTTAAAAATCAAAGGTTTGAGATGTCAAGAAATAGAATGAGAAATTGTCAAATTGAAATATCGAAAAAATCTATAATTGAAAAATCGAAAAACCGAGGAATGAGGAAATCAAAATTCCAAAATTTAAAAAATGGAAAAATTGAAGAATCGATAAACTAAAAATCAAAAAGAACTGAGATGTCCAGAAATCGAATAAAAAAATCGTCAAATTGTAATATTGAAAAATCAAAAATTTAAAAATTCGAAAAATTTAAAAATAGAAATATCGAAGAACTGAAAAATCAAAAAATTTAAAATTTAAAAAGTTGAAAAATTAAAATATAAAAAAACCGAGAAATCGGGAAATTAGAAAATCGAGACATTGAAAAATCGAAAAATGAAAGAATCGAAAAACTGAAAAATAAAAACTGAAATGACGAAAAATTCAAAACTTCCAATGTTGAAAAATTAAAAAATCGAAGACCTGAGAAATCCAAAAATCCAAAAATTGTCGATAAATTTTTAAAATCGAAGAACTGAGATGTCAACAAATAGAATAAAAAAATCGTGAAATTGAAATATCCAAAAATCAAAAATTTAAAAAATTGAATAATTAAAATATCGAAATAAAGGATCGAGAAATCTAAAATTGAAAAATCGAAACATTGGGAATCGACAAATTGAAATGACGAAAAATTGGCAAATCGAAAAAAAAAGAAATAAAATAAATCGTAACATCGAAAAATTGAAAACTGAAATGACAGGAGAAGTCTAAAAATTGAGCATCGAAATACCCCAAAATCCAAAAGTTAAAAATTGAAAAATTGAGAAATTATGCAATAGAATCAAGAAAAATCTAAAAACGAAACATCAAATTCGAAAAATTAGAGAATAGAAATACCAAGAACTGAGAAATTGAAAAATCAAAAATTTTAAAAACTAAAATCCAGGAAAAATTTTGAATTTTTCCTGGATTTTAGTTTTTAAAATTTTTGAAATCAAGAAATTTAAATATGTATAAAAAATCTAAAATTTAAAAAGCGAAAGAGAAAAATCGAGAAATCAAAAAATTAAAAAATCAGAAACTTGAAAAATCGATAAATCGAGAAATCAACAAATTAAAAATTTTAAAATTGAAAAATTCAGACATTGAAATATTGAAAAATCGAAAATTTGAAATCTAGAATTTAAAAATCGAAAAAGTAAAAAATCGAGAAATCGAAAAGTTGAAAAATTGAAAAACCGAAAACTGGAATATCGAAAAATTGAAGAATTGAAACATCAAAAACCTGAAAAATTGAAAAATCGAGAAGTTGAAAAACCGAAACATAGAAAGTCGAAATGGGAAAATCAAACCGAAAAGTCAAAAAAGTGAAAAATGGTAAAACTGAAACATCAGAAAATTGACAAATCGAAAACTGAAGAACTCGAGACATCGAAAAACCATGATTTCAAAATTACTAAGTACATATTGTAAAACCTAAAACAGTGAAAAAAGAAACAAATAATTAATCATACCGGGTGTTTGTAAAATTCTATAAAAGTAAAATTGGCAACACTGCACGCGCCTAATGCGTGAAGATGTTTCAAATTCCTGCCTTGTGCTCGTAATGTTTCCAAATTTTGATCGTTTTTCTAAAAATTAATCATCACTACTTGCTAAGATAAAACTGATTTTGGCAATGACATAGCCACTAAGAAAAAGGGGGAGGGTGGGCGGGGCTAGTACCTGCTTAGATAAGACTAGAGATGTGTATAAAAACGGTTTTTAAAAAAATCTGTTTGTTTTTATGTTTTGAAAAACGTTTTTTTTAAGTTTTTTTTTGTTTTTGTAAGTTTACAAAATCTTAATTGATAAACCCTTCTTTTGAGAGTTATACCAATTTTAATAAAAATAGTTAAAGCTGTCATTGCAAAAATACTTTCATTTTATAATCTGTGATCCGTTAACGGCCTATAGAACCAACCTCTGACATGTTTCATAACCTAAATTTAAGGTGAGAGGGAAATCATGTCATCATATATGGATTAATTCAAGAATCGAAATCTTGAAAAATTCCAAAATTGAAATGTCAAAAAATTGAAAAATCGAAAACAAATTGAAGAATCGAAAACGAAAAATCCCAAAACTGAAATATCGAAAAATCGAACAGTTTCAAATCAAAGTTGAAAAATCGAAAAATTAGAAACCTGAAAATTGGAAAATCTGAAAAACGAAAACTTGCATTAACAAACGGAAAAATCGGAATATCGAGACATCGAGATATCGAAACAATGAAAAGTCGAAAAATGAGAAATGGGAAAATTAAAAAATCGAAACGTCGAAGAATCGAGAAATCGAAAAATTGTTATACTGAAACATTAGAAAATTGAAAAATGGAAAAAAATAAAAAAATTTAAAAATCTCAACAATGAAATATCGAAAAATTAAGTCATCGAAAAAGTTAAAATTGAATAATCGAAAAGCCGAAAAATTGTTATATTTGGCAAAATCAACCTTATCTTGGCAAGTACTAGCCCCGCCCACCCACCCTTTATTTTCTTAAAAGAGCAGGTCATCTGGCAAAATCAGTCTTATCTTGGCAAGTACTAGCCCCACCAAGCAAAAAAAAACCTATCCTACCTTATTTTTTACATATTTAAGGTGCGAGGGGAATCATGTCATCATTTATGTATGTACATTAAAAAAACACAAAATTTCATGAAAACTTACGGGAATAAAAGAAGATTTAAATTTGTTAAAAAAAAAACAAAAAAACCTATTCTATATTTAATATATTAATTTATAAAATAAACGGTTTTTTTACACTCACATCACTAGATAAGACTGATTTTGGCAAATGAGATCCATCTAAGAAAATGGCGGGCGGGTGGGCGGGTTTTAGTACCTGCCAAAATAAGATCGATTTTGGCAAATGACATATGCTCTAAGAAAAGACAGGGTGGGTGGGCGGGGCTAGTACCTGCTAAGATAAGCCTGATTTTGGCAAATGACATACCCTCTAAGAAAAGAGAGGGCGGGTGGGCGGGGCTAGTATCTGATAAGATAAAACTGATTTTGGCATATCAGATACACTTTAACGAAAGAGAGGGTGGGTGGGTGGGGCTAGTACCTGCTAAATACGGGGTCGTAAAATTAACTCAAAAGCATGTCAGGTCAGAATTTTCCAAAAATAGAACACCAAAGTCCCCTAAAATTGTTTTAAATAATTTGCAAAAAAAAAATCTCCATAAACTTCCAAAACAATACACCATGATTAGTTTCCATTCCCACTCGACAGAAGAACATGACTATCCCCGCCCACCCACCCTGCCTCTTTTTCAGTGACTGATTTTATCTGATCTGAATCAAATAAATGGCCTTATACTTAACAGAAGTAAAATTAGTCCTTAGAAATAGAAGAGAGGGAGATGTTAGTACTTACTAAGAT